AATTAGTGGAACTTCCGGAAGATTTTACATACAAGTTCCTTGTGAAGATTGGTAAGTATGTGCAACTTGGTGCAACTATACATATAGGAAACTTATAGAAGACTCATTAGATGCAGTTTTGATGGTGACTCGGTGGAAACTTTAAAATGAAAGATGTATTATATATGTTATATATGTATATAAACAGAATTTAATTTTTTTAAATTTAAGATGTAACAATATATTACAAGTAAAAATAAAAACAAATATTTTATAATTTTGATTTTTATTACAAACGTAAAACTTCCCTAAAAATACTCCACTTCCTATTAAAAATTAACACTAATAAGTGGAAGATACACACTATTTAGTGATATTTTGTCAATTAATAGAGTAAAATTAGAGCGAAACAAAAAATTAAGAAATGAACAAAGAACAATTTAACACGATTAGGAAAAAGAGTAATGAATTTAGCACGTTAATAAACAAGAAAATTGAATTTAACACGTTAACGAATAAGAAAAGTTAATTTAACACTCTGATCAACAACTACTGGTGATTGGACACTTGATACAATAAACTGAAACATTAGTGAACTTACCTACTTTGTTTCAATGGCAAACATTATTATACCTATCTTTAACAATCCTCTAAAAAAATTGGTCTTTATCGAACCAATAAATCAAACCAAAATAAATAACAAACCTCAATTAGAAGGAGCAACGATAATAAAAAGCGGATTATTTTGAAAACTATCAACTTTAGCGTGTTTTGATAAGAGTACCGTTTTTGCTTAAAAAAGTACCGAGAATAAGAATTTTTATTCAAAAAGCCAAAAAGTATACTGTCAGAAAAGTTATTGTTATTTTAATCCGTAAAGAATACGTTACAGAGCGTTCATTCCCAAAAACCTCCGTATACCAAATTTGAATAAAATCGGTTGAAATACATGTGTAATATTAAATAAAAATCAATTAATAAATTTTACCTAAACATCCTGTATCTTCAAAACAAAGCGTTAGTCGACCTATCTTTATATGAAGTTTTTGTGTTAATTTTAAAAGACTTATCGTCTGTTAAAGTCCTGCTACAAAAACCTGGAACACCCTGTATAAAGTTATTGACAAGGGGTTTAATATCGTTTACGAAGTTCATTTCAAGTTCATGTTTAATAGGTGTTATGAAAAGTAATGAATTAAATTGAAAAATGAAATGAATGATTTATATTTTAACGATTTGAACTACTGAACGATCCTTCTTCTTCCTCCACATATTTTATTTTAACTTTATTTTATTTTAACTGTTTGGGATACAGACAGGGAGACCCCACAATAGTATCCACTAAATAATGCAAAAGACTATAATACAAAAAGCAAAAGAAAACTTCGAATAACATTAATTATACAACCATACGCAGTTGTAATTAAATTAAAAAAGAAAACGAGAAAAATAATTCCCAACTACATACTAAGTACTAAACAAACTAAATNGGTTGCTTTTGCAGTAAATGCCTTGGGCAATGCTATGCCTCCTTTATTTGTATTTCCACGAGTCCGTTATCACGATCATTTTGTTCGCAATGCATCGTTCCTAGTATTTCTCGAACATTTTAAGAAGTTCTC